CGTCAAAGCTTTTGCCCGCCGTTTGCTACTTGATGAGACACGCGGGCGCAGCTGGCGGAGGAGGAAAAGGCACTCTACACATGCTCAGGGATGCCCTCCTCGAGTTATTGTTGTCTTTTAAAAACGAGGGGTATAGATGCAGGTTATTTCCTCGCCTTATACCCCCATGTTAAACTTCGCGGGGCCCTGCTGCCCACCCGCCACCAGCCTTTTTCTCCTGCCTGCCTCCATCCTTACCAGAGGCAGAGGGTGAGCATGTGTGTGATGTGTGCATGTATGAATAGGAGTCCTTACTTTTGCTCCTGGCTCTGTCCACTTCTGCCCTGCCTTCTGCCCCCCTGACCAAAATGGGCACCAGCCCTCAATAAGTGAGATTTGGAGGATGGTTACGCTTACTCAGAGTTGATGGAAGGATACTGCCCCTCGGAGGAACTTAATAATTACCTGGTGTCAAGCCAATTCTTGGCTCTTTGCAAGGTTTTCTAAGTACAGTTTAGAGCACTCAGAAGTGATTGGTTCTCTTCACAGGAGGTGTGGGGAAAATCTTATATTTTGACTTGGGTGCCTTACATTCAAATTTCAGCGATCGTCATAGCTCAGAAGCACCCCACGCATGCTCAGAGGCACATTCTCCTTGCAGCAGACATTCTGTGGCCGATTCTTGAGAGAAAAAGTACCCCTGGTGAGCCCTGGCTAAGGTTTGGTGGTGGGAGTCCTGCTGAATTTGGACAGCAGGGAATGAAATTTGCCAAGAGATATATGGACAGAGAAATGACAAGTTTCAAGTAAGAGAAAAGGAGAAACATCACATTTATAGCTGGAATAAGCTGATTTGGAGGAGAGGACATTCCTCATGCTTGCCGGAGATACAGACCAAGCTGTACATAATAAACTCCGTGGTCAGAACTCTTAATGTCATTATTTCAACTTTTAAACAGCTGCACTGAAACTCGAGACAGTTGTATTAACAGTCAGTGGAGTTCTAAGCAGGTCTGTTCGGAAGTAAGTCCTTTGAATTCAAGGAAACTTGCTCCCACATGGATTTGTATGGGGTGGCAGCCAGTCCTTACTCATCCCTCCACTCGCTCCTCTGTGATACTAATAAGCTTGGGGAGTTAAGACTACAGTATTTAGATAGGGGGAGTTAGCAAGAGGGAGGGACAAATGGCTCATCCACTGCTACTTCTCTGGTACAATTTGGAGTCCTTTTTATATTGATTTTGAAGTCTGTGGCAGAATGCGTCCTGAGTCACGGACCGAGAGCTTGGAAGTCAGTGTCGTTTTGGACAACAACTCTCAGAGTCCTCTTCCCACCCACCCCAGTGTGTGGCCATACTAACAAGTAGCCTGTCCCAAGCCCTGCATATGCATAACATGGAAAGGAAGGCACCTGTGATTTGGGAACAAAAGCCATACAGGGAATGGACAGTTTCGGAACTGAGGGATGGAAAAAGATGACATCTAGAAGCTGGAAACACAGACATGGGTGTAAGAGTCTGATCCTGGTGTCAGGCAGCTTCCTGGGCTCATAGAGGAGTGGAAGGACTGTGGTTCAAGCCATCTTCAGAGTCCTGGTGAAATATCCAAAAGCGAAGCACCACCTACTAAGTGCCTTATGAGGTCAGCATGGCAGGCAGTCCTTGTGGGAGAAGAAGGAGACCTTGACTGGAGTGGCACAGCTTTGCTGGCAGCGCCCTATCTGAGGTATCCAAGGAATGGTCATGTGGAGAGATTTGCATGGCTCTGCTAGTTGTTTGGAGTTAAGGTGTGATATTTGTCCTAGGGAGCATGCCACACACTACTCGGGGTAAGGTGGGGACTGTTTCAGGTTTAGCATATGTGGGATGTTCTCTTAAGCCCATGTGTTGGAACAGACATGTGTCCCCAGCCCCCTGAGTAGTATTCAGACACCTCTGGAAGGGAGATGGCTGCAGAACCATGCAGCCGTTGGTGCAAAAAGTGTTGGAAGGGGGCCTTGGCTTGGCTGTCCCACAAGCAGCGCAACTTGCCGTGGTAACAAACCTTTGTGAGGCGGCAGGGTCCCAGTGAGTGGGAGGCTGATCCCTAATTCCTAGGGGTGTCATAGGCCAAAAGCAACTTCACATGACACAAAAACATCTCTAGAGACACAAAGCCAATTTGAGAACAGCAAAAAATTGTGTCTTCTTGACTGAGTGTTGATCAAATAGAAAAATTAAGCAGATTAATCTGTACAGAATTCTATAAACTTGAGGTCCCAGTGCATGAAATGTTGGATCATATTTACGAATTAGAGTTTATAATAAAGAGATCTCTAAATTATACCACGTTGTATATAAAATTATCATTTTGTAGGGTTTTTAAAAATAAACAAAAAGGATTTTTTTAAAAAAATCAAATTCAGATTCAATTTTTTTAATTATTCTTTTTTAAATTTTTGATTTTTATCCACCCTCATTCAGACATTTACCATGTTGACACTTTGGAAGAATAAGAATATATTAATTTTTATCTAGAGCAAAGCAAGTTGTATATAGACAACTTTTTCAGTGGAATGATTTTCACCTTACTCTACTATGGTATCAGCTCTGATCCAGAATAAGTACCTTGATAACCATGTTTCCCCGAAAATAAGACAGGGTCTTATATTAATTTTTGCTCCAAAAATGCATTAGGGCTTATTTTCAGGGGATGTCTTATTTTTTTCATGTACAGCAGTCTACATTTATTCAATTACAGTCATGTCATCTTCTTCTGGTTGCTGCACAAGGGTGGAGGGCGGGGTTTCACATTAACTGGGGCTTATTCTTGGGGTGGGGCTTATATTACGGGCATCCTGAAAAATATTAGAGCTTATTTTCAGGTTAGGTCTTATTTTCGGGGAAACAGGGTAATTTAATTCCCATAATGATGGATGGTGAAGCTGTGGTTAGTATGGAGCATGAAAACATTTAGCTCTGTTCTCCAGACTATAGCAAACTGGATGCTGGTAGAAATATGTGAATTTGATGAAGAAAGAAGATAGTTAGATTGACCCAGATAAGCTTTGATCAAAATTTCTTCTTCCCCTTTATTTATTTTATTTTAACTACAACATAAAATACATAAATCAAAATACAAATCAACTGTGTTCCCCTCCACCCTGCAATAATCTTCTTCTTCCATTGTCCATATTCTTCTTCCTTTATTAATCAAAAATTCTCAAACTAGGCAAATACCAGTTTCCAGAGTGGTGATGATAGCTGGGTTAGTCTGGGCTCATTTGTACAGAAGAGTGGTTCCCATCCTTGGTTCCCATCCTAGTCCTGAGTATCCTTGGACTGCAACTCCCAGAAGCCTTCACCATTAGCTGTGCTGGCCAGAGTTTCTGGGAGTTGCAGTCCAAGGACACCTGGGACTACCCAAGGATGGGAACCACTGAAATAGAACATTTTCCCCACTGCCACCATCTTTTGTGCTACATGAGTGGGGATCCCTGCCACGGTTTCTACCCACTTTTATTCCTGCACCTGCACTTATCCTTAGGAAAACTAAATTTTCAAAGAAATTGTTTGAAAATATTTTAGAAACTTTGAAGAAATACTTTTGAAATTGTCTATTATGCTGTCTGTGTGTTTTTTAAAGTATCTCAGTGAATTGAAAGCTTCCACTCTGAGCACTCCACAGTGGAGATTTACTTCATTAATGAGCTATCTCTGAAATTAGCTGTCTTTCAAAACAACTCTTTCAAAAATATTGAAGAAACCCTTTAAAATGATACTTTGTGCTTTTTGACAGATGAACATGGACCACTTCTGATCCAATAACCTTTTGTCTCCTGATCCCTTGCCAGTCCTGGCACAAACAAACACCACACCTCTTTATTTTCGTTTGTACTGATTTAAGTCTGGCATCATCTGGATGATTGGGGAAAATCGGTCCACAACCAGGTACATGTAGGTGAAGAAAACGGGAAGGGAGAGCGTTGTGGCACTTTAAAAGCTTGTTTTGTATGGCATCAGTTTTAATGGAAGGAAGCTGATGCCATGAATTCTCGCAGCAAATGAAATGTGTTAGTCTTTAAGGTACCACAGACTTTTTGTTTTTTTCTGCTGGGCAGACAGAACTAGAGTGTACAAAGGGATGGGCAAAGCAAAGTGCTGCCAATGGAAAAGCTGTGGTTGCCTAATAAGGATGCAGTGGAAATGCGAGGAGGATTCCACAGGCTATGTTGGAGGCACAGATGCCATAGGGATAAAGTCAGAATGTAAAGGACATGGGGATGGCATAGAACAGAAGTTGAGAGGAGCATTTCGGAAATATGGAATAAATAAGACTTACCCTGGGTTAATGACTGATATCCCATTGTTTTTCCAATAATTATCTCTGTTCTGCCGCCATCTTTTGAATCATTTATATATATAGTTAGTTTGGAGGTTTGCTTGTTTTTTGTTTGATGTCTTAATTTTGATTATTATTGAATTTTATGTCTATGTCATCATAGTGTAACTTACCCAGAGTAGTGTCCTGGCCATTAGATGGGTGGGGTAAAAATTAGAATAAATAAATAAGATTGCTATGCAAGTGTTTTAGAGGGAAAGGTGTTTGAGGATGTTCATCTCCAAAGGTTTGTAACAAACTTGAGACTTTATTAGTGAGAGGGGACAGACAGAAAGGCTACAGGAGTAGTGGTTCTCTTAAGAAATGGTGGAAACAAATCCACCCTGCTATTTTGAAGGAAACAAAGGGGATTTTATTATTTTATATATATTTATGTAGTCTGAGTTGCTATATAAAAATAATTAAATCCCCTTAGTTTCCTTCAAAATGGCAGGGTGGATGTCTCTGTGTGTGTGTGTGTGTGTGTTCGTGTTCGTTCGTTCCGTTGTTGGTATGCTGGGAATAAGACCAACATGTCAATGTGCTGGTGCAGGGGAAGGCTTTCTAGTGTGTTCACGTCTAACAGAACTAACTCTGCAAAGCAAATGGGACATTTCAGTATCCCAGAGTCAAGTTTATTGCAGAATTAGCACAGCTCCCAACCTGCAGAGTAGGCAGTTTACTTTCTGGTGGGATGGTGAGGTGGGAACAGGGCTTAAGTACCTGCACTTGGTCCCGACTGTGATTTCAACCTGAAGCCTAGACAAGACCTTAGGTTGACCCAACTTAAGAGAAATACTAGAATTTTCTTAGCAGGTGTTCCAGCTTCTTTTGGTTCAGTGTGCCTGAACCAAAAGAAGCTGGGGACATCAAAGTTGCGTCTAGATAAAAATTGTCATTGCTTCCCAGCAGAAGGACAATGGAAAGGAAGTCAGCCTAGCTGGGAATCTCACAGTGCTGGAGATAAACAGTGACTCAGCAACTAAATAAGTATGTGCAGGTGTTGTTGTTGTTCTCTGTTCTGTATCCCTGCAAGGAGTGACACGACACCCCCCCATTAGATTTGCAATAAGCAAGTGTAAATTACTCCTTCTTCTCTCATCTCAGTTGATTATAAGCCTCATTTGGCCAGCATTCTGTGACAACCTGGGGATACTATGTTCACGTTGTCTAAGACAGGGCTCATCAACTCCATTTGCAATAAGCAAGTGTAAATTACTCCTTCTTCTCTCATCTCAGTTGATTATAAGCCTCATTTGGCCAGCATTCTGTGACAACCTGGGGATACTATGTTCACGTTGTCTAAGACAGGGCTCATCAACTCCCGGTCCGCGGCCTGGTGCCGGTCCATGGGCTTCTTTTAAGTGGGCCGTGGACACGGATCTCCGCCCCCCGCACGTATTCGGGGGGGGTTCCACTTGTGGAGGGGCGTGTCATGCTCATGGGTGGGTGTGTTGTGCTTGCAACAATATCTGCCTGGTTTCTAACTTCAGCCCAACCTGGAGCAGCAACTGTGGCAGCACCTACTTGGCGAGTACAGGGCTTCCTCCCCGCCTCGTAGGGGATGGGTCCTGCCTGCCCCCCCCGAAGTGCCCACGCGTCCAGAAGGGGAGCCCTCTCCCTGCCCAGCCGTCTTCCCTCAGGGGTTTGGCGCCACCGGGACT